TCCCGCGTGCATCCATAACTCAATAGTGTACCCTGTGGTGTTTATCATTTGCTAAATATATGTATATGTCACAGTTTAATACATGTTTGCATCTACTATTATTTAGTATGCTTGTAAATCAGACGTTTTTCAATACTTGTATTGCTAGAATTGATGATATTGAATGAAACCTATTATATGTATACTACTACTACTACTACTTCTACTATATATACTACTACTTGTACTACTACTGCTATTGCTGCTGCTGCTGCTACTGCTACTACTACTACTAATACTACTTATTGCTTCTGCTTCTGCTACAACCAATACTACTACTAGTGCTAGCACTAGTGATAATAATGATGATAATATTAATGACAAAAATAATGTTAAAGACGGTAACCCTTAAATGAAACATCACAAAACTTTAAAATTCATCGCTGAAAAAAAAGCCCTACAGTATATTAGTCTTATCATTAGGAACTTTACCAGAATTAAAATCCAACTTGCAACATATACAAAGTAAGAATAAAAACCTTTACGGAGGCTTTCCCAATAACTTATTCAATCTAACGGGACAAAGCCCTAATTGGTTTCTTTATACCCCATTCAAGACCCAAATAATATAACTTCTATTAAAAGCTTTTACATACTTTTGCCGGATTAAAGAGTTGCAGCTCACATACAGTATGATACCCCTAGTTTTGAAGCAAGCTTATGGCGTGCTCACCTTAAATGTCTTTCCCCCTTGTTCCGTATAATTGTACCATTCCAAACCCTTGTATTGTAAATAGTATTTTGTAACCCACTGATCGGCATCTTCTCTCCCTTGTGTCGCTATACCTGTCACCACGTTGTACCCTTCTGAGCCGAGATGGATTTGCAAAAATTGATGGGCAGCATCGGTACGAGCGACCCAACCTCCGCTGTAGGCCGATTGCCTTGTAAGGTTCAGCCTGCCTCGGCTGGCTTTGGTGTAGTTATTCCAATACGAAGTTGAATATATCGAGGGATTGGGGATTTTTCCACTCTGCATGCCAAGGGCATACGTACAATCTAAATGATTTTTTTCAAAACGTTAGTCACTGAAATATGAGCAGTCGAGCCTAGTTACGCTAGTGGCTGTACAAGACCTGGAGCGTTTTTCCAGCTGAGAGACGTGACGCAATATCGAATCGTAAATCAGAACCTTCGAATGAGTGTAACAACGAACCAATAGCGACAAATCAAAGTACAACCATCTAGATAGATAAATAGACGCAGAAGGATATGATGAGCACTAAAGCAAAAGACCATTCAAATCCCCAACAACTGTGGAACATGCTGAGCATCAAACTGAACTGAGTTTGATAATCTCAGACCGTCTGGAAAGTTGATATGCGCTTCTTTTCATTTACATTTCATTTTACATTTATACAGCGCAGACTTCTATGTAGATATATTCAGTCGCGCTTAACAGTATCGTAAGGTTGAGATCGGACGTCAGCAGTTTTATCAGGCGCCTCTGGCGGCCGCTTCAGTCCATGTAGCGATCTCACTTTCCCGCTCATCCCACCCCGGGGAGGACATCCAGTGCATAATTATCTCGTGCATGGGAAATTTACGTCTCCTACCCCTAANAGGTCTGATTTTCGCTATTGCTTAAATAGCGCTATCTACTGCGAGGATCGTGCATCATATGTATCTAATACCGCAGTACAAAATATATGAACTTCATATATTTCATTGTATCTCATTTATCACTTTCACGGGTTTATTACGAATCAACTTAACGGCCTGCTCCCAGTTGGCTTGTTAGCTCAATTGGTAGAGCGCTGCACTAGTATCGCAGAGGTCAGTGGTTCGAGTCCCGCACAGGCCTGATTTTTTTCAGGTCTGATTTTCGCTATTGCTTGAATAGCGCTATCTACTGCGAGGATCGTACATCATATGTATCTAATACCGCAGTTGAAAATATATGAACTTCATATATTTCATTGTATCTCAATGTTAACTTCGTGGGCGATCAGAACGCATCTGACAGAGAAGAGAACTATGCTTTTGCATTTGCAGTTACGGAGAATCAAGGAGAAACATGCAATGCAACCCGTCTTAAAGAAGCATTGCTGGAAGTGAATATTAATGGCATTGCAACAAGAGTACTCATTGACTCAGGGTTAGTAAGTAACCTCATAGGAATGGAAGAATATGAAGAAATTAAGGCCCGAGGCCTTAACGCGAAGATGGAGGATTGCCACAAGCGGCTGTATGCATATAGCGGAAGGGGGTTGGAAGTGATTTGCCAGGTTAAAGTTGAGATCTCGGCAGGTGATAAGAGGATAGGTTTGCATTTGGTAGTCACTAAGAGTGGAAGGTGTCTGCTGGGCCACGAAACTTCACAAGCTCTGGGTCTGCTTCGTATTAGTTCGAGCGTCAGCAGTGAATTTGTAGAGTGCAATGTCGTTGGCGGGAACTTAGCCCCAGTTCTTCAGGCTAAGTATCCAACAGTGTCTGTTGGCGTCGGCAAGCTGAAAGACTACAAACTGAAACTACACGTCGACTCAAAGGTGACACCAGTAGCTCAGAAACCGAGGCGTGTCCCACTCGCACTGCGAGAGAAAGTAACTGCGAAATTTCAGGACCACATTGCTAAGGATATAGTGGAGCGAGTAAATGGGCCGACGTCATGGGTTAGTCCTGTGGTGACTGCGCCAAAGGCATCAGGGGATATCCGGCTGTGCGTAGATATGAGGAAGGCAAATGCAGCTATCATTCATGAAAGGATACCCATCCCGACGGTGGACTAGGCGTTGAAAAATCTCAATGGCAGTACAGTGTTTTGAAATGAAGGTGTAGTCTGATCGTCCGGGTGAGTGTAGTCCTGAGAAGGACTGTTGTCGGTGGCAGTGGCTGACGTTTCGACAACCTGTGCGGAAGTCATCATCAGAGTCAAGTGAATGATTGTTGTCAGTAGAATGTTCTTATTCCAGTTCGTGTGAAATGATCGGTTGGTTTTGCCGTGATGTTATTGGCTGTAAGACTCAAGTGACGTAAGTCGGTCGTGATTGGTCTGTTTCG